TCCGTCTTCGGCTGCTTCAGCGGTGTGTCTCACTCCGTCTTCGGCTGGACAATTTGCTGCATGTTTCTTCACTGTTGTTGGTGTTTGTCCAGATGTGGTTAGATGTTTTAATGTGACGTGTTGTTTGTGTTTGTTGTTTGTGTTTGTTGTTTGTGTTTGTTGTTTGTGTTTGTTTAAGGTGACGTTCGCTGGTTAAACGGTTCGTGCAGCTGTGCCAGATCAGCTGACGGCCTGAACTGATCTTATTTAAAACGTTTCAGGATCTGAAGCTCAAGATGCGACTGGATCAAAAGGAATTGTTTGTGGGTTTTTCTTGAATTCCAGATGTTGGTTCATCTGCTGCTGTTTGTCTTGTTGATGTTGACAGGATCAGAGGAGCTGCAGCTGTTTTTATGTGCTCAAGACATCAGCTGCAGATTTACGACGAGCCCAGGGGTCGAAATAACACTGAATTCACATACACCCCCGACTCAGACACCCCCCACAGTCTCATACCCCCCCCCCTCCCCAAAAAAAGACTCACACAGAGTCTGTCCACCTGTGTGTCCCCCTGTGTGTCCCCCTGTGGTCGGTCTGGTTGTGGTGGCGTGTCGTGTGTCTCCATGTCTGCTCTTCATGCGTGTAACATGTTTATAAATCGTCTTCAGTAAAGGTTGTTTCTGAAAAGCAGCGTTGGACAGTTGTGTTGTCTTGATGGACAGGACGGACGGTGCCGAGGGACGGGGACAGTATTCGGCTGTGAGACTTTTGTCCAGAGAAGTAAAGTCCACAATTATCAGAAGAACACAGCCATGTTCACGTTTAGCTTTTAGCTAGCCTTTAGCTACATTTAGGTCTTAAGACTTCAGCTGCAGCTTCTTCAGCTGTCGTTCATGTCGTTTCTCTGGTTTGAAGTTTTGTCTCTTGAAATAAAAAGTTAACGAACAAAAAGCAGCTGAACGTGTTTTTCTGTCTCCTGCAGAAAAACGAGCGGACGGTTTAAAAACGTTCTCTTCGTCACGAGAACGCGTCTTTTTCCTCTGAATCTGAGACGAGTCCTGATTTTAGGGACAGACGGGCCCTGAGGGCCGCCCAGCTGCTGCCTCAAAGTCCAACAGAACACTCAGATGTTAACTGTTGGAGGCGCGCAGAGACAAAGATATTTTGCTAACAGGCAGAAAAACAAAGGCAGACTTGAGCTAGCTGGAATCCTCCTCTAACTGCAAATCTTGACGTGCAGAGAATTTTATTTCCCAAAGAAGTGAGAGAACCAAAAGAAGGACCTGCTGCAGCTCGGGGGGTCGTTGGTGCTCTCGTGTTCTGAGCCCAGCAGAACTCTGCTCTCCATCGTTTGAAGCGACTCACTCCAGAGCCTCTGCGTCCTTCTCTCTAAATATTTACAGGCCGTCAGGCTGCGAGACGAAGAAGACGCGAGACGAGTTGTGACGTCATGCCGAGACGAGCAGCGCGAGGAAACTGAAAGAAAATGATCCGAACCTGAAGTCACAGAAACTCCAACAGCTGGATCCTCAAAGACAAAAGTCTTTTTGACGGCTTTAAATAAAAACTCTAAAGAACTCGAAGAACTCCCACAGTTTTCACTCAAGGCTCATTTATTCATGAAACCTTCTCCTTTGTGTCAGTCTGGCTGAACGGGTCAGAACCGTCTGAAGGTGTAGTCGCACATGATGGAGAGAATATCTGCAGAGTAAAAGTTTTATAAAAGACGTTCTACGGAGCCCCGGAGGGGACATGGGGATTTGTTCCCTGCAGCCCTGTACAGTAGTGAGACGTCACAGAGCACAGCAACAATGGAACAGACACCTGGATTTGAGGTACACGGAGTTTTGTTTTGAAGTCAGCCTTAAATATAAAGACGTCAGTGTGTGCTGCAGTGGTCCAATTAGTTGTACGTTGGATATTTCACGTTCATGCTCCGTGGATTCAGCCGTGTCCTCCTTCAAGCTGATGCAGACAGTCTGCTCTCAGTCTGTCCCTCCTCTGAGGAGAGATGGTTCTCTTAGGGACCGTCAACAAATGACCGAGCTAATGAGCTTGGTCTGAACACCGTTATAATATTTTAGATATATTTCCAGAGTATTTGTCAAAGCAGCACCATGCTTCATAAGTTTTCTCAGTATATTTCTGCATGGATCATGAATTTTCTCAGCATTTAAAATCCAAAACAACAAGGTGGCACTTGTGTTTCAAAAGTACTGTCACT